ACTTAAATAGTTATATAGGATAATATATTAAATCAATATAATACTTAAAGTAAATCAGAAATAATTTATCTATGTATTAGATTAAAACAACTTAAAGTAAATTAGAAATATTATGCATTAAAACAACTTAAAATAAATCAGAAACAATACTTTCATTATGCATTAAATTAATACAAGATTCAAAAACAATTTATTGATGCATTAAATCAAAATAACTTAAAGTAAATCAGAAACAATACTTTTATCATATATTAAATCAATACAAGATTCAAAAACAATTTATTAATACATTAAATCAAAATGAACTTAACAAAATATTTATAAACATTACAATTATTTTAAAAAGAAAATTTGTTTAAATACTTACTAAAAAAGAAAAACAATAGTTTAGTATAATAATATAAATATTTGCGAAACTACTGCATTTTTTAAAAAAATATAAAATTTAACTAAAATCATCTTCAAAAATAACTCCATTTCAAACTTTTATTTTCCTTTTAATTTTTCAATTATAAAATAAAAATAAGCTAAAAAAGGTCAATTTCTAAATTATATGGTAACGATGATGATTTATCATCAAGTTAATCTTCTAATACATCTTTTCATAGAAAAAATAGATTGATTCTTAGATTAATTGATGAAGAAGATATCCATTTTCTGGTGAATTTCTTAAACTATCATCTAATAATATAATTATTTTAAGTAAAATGCTTGATTTGATAGTTGAATACTACAATGTGATTTATATTACGTTTGATTTTAGGAAGTCATTTTATAAGGATTCAGAAGATAGTATCCCTTCATCTGTAATGCAGGTAAATTTGCTTGCAAACTTCTTTAGATTTAAATTATTATATGAAAAATGTATTAAATTAGCAAAAATTGTCAAAATATAATACTACGACCTATCATCTACAATGCATTCAAATTTAGCTGCGGAATTTAGCATATTCAGATTTTTATGCAAGAAGCAAATTATTTGTATCACAAAATAGCTTGCAGGCAAATTTGCTTGCGAACCTTTAATTTAATACAATTTGTGTAACATAATACAAAATTGCAAGTAAATTTGCCTGCGAATAGTACAAATTTAAGCCACTAAGTTTTTTCAATTTTTTCCTACGAAATTAATTCTCTCTCTGTGAAAATTCAACTTTTTCCCTACGAAAATCAATTTCCTCCTATAACAATCCAATTTTTTTTCTATAAAAGCCAAATTTTTCCTTACGAAACCCTAATTTTCTTTACAAAATTCTAATTTTTTCCCTACGGAAATTCAATGACAATTCAAAATTTTTTTGGCGATAATGTTCATTAAAATGTACTTTAAATTTCGGATTTTTATATTAAAATCGCTAAGAATAGTGCAACAATGTAGATTATTTAATCTAGATCAGGAAATTATCAACGTTGAGTATTTGTCTTTGTTAACGTAATGTCAGAAATCAAAGAAAATATTAAAGAAAATTTTGATAATTATATTTGTCAGTTCACACGAAAATGAGATTATTTAGATGAGGTAAATGATGATGATAAGGATAGTGAAAACAAGTCTAACGCTAATAAAAGAAAACAAAAAAAGAATGATAATGATGAAGTTTCGCAACCTCCTTTAGAATATACTCCTATTCAATATAATTACCATGATTCAGATTTAACTTTACCAAATTTCTTTCAACCTAAAAATCTCACTCCATATGTAATCTTTTCAGAATTTTTCTCTAAAAAGCAAGTTGAACTTATTGTTCAAAACACAAATATATACGCATATTATCAAAATACGAAGAGAAATAATTCATCTGACAAAAGTCGTAAATAGACCGAATTGACAGTAAATGAGTTAAAGGTATGGTTTGCCCTTGTAATATATATGGGTATATTTCAGCTTCTATCTATAAAAGATTATTGGAAATTGGATGATATTTATCTGACTCACGAGATCACAAATTTAATGTCTTTATTTCGTTTTCAACAGATAAGTAGAATGATTGATAATTGCTTTGATTTATTTTATTTTAAAATTTTTGACTAAATTATTTTTTTTTAATTTTTTACATTAAACGATATCTGCATATTTCAGACATTACAACAAATGAATATTTTTTCAAAACTCAAACTACTAGCTTCTCACGTTCACAATATTTCCAAAAAACTATACATACCTGCATCTAACATTTCTATAGATGAAATGATAGCCCAATTTTCTGGACGAAGTGCTCATACGTTTAGAATAAAGAATAAACCCACTCCGAAGGGATATAAAATATTGTCTTTATGTGATTCAGGTTACACATACACTTTCATATTTACATTAAGGGTCAAAGCATCTAATATTGATGTTATTGAAAGTGTTAATAAAATTGACGCAGAGGTGTATCATCTAGTTGGCCAATTGCTATCACAAAAACAATTTAACATTTATATAAATAATTACTTCTCAAGTGTAAACCTGTTTTCTTTTCTTTGAGAAAAAGGCATTGGCGCATGCGGAACTGTTAGGATGAACACAGCAAAATTTCCTGTAATTCTAAAGAAAGAAAAAGAAAAAAAACGAGTGGGATTTTTTAAAGGGTGTTGTTGTAGATAATATGCTGGCAATGTTGTGAATAGATAATGGGCCAGTAACAATACTGACCACGATACACAATATTAATAGTAAAGTTTCTAAAGAACGTAGAAGATCTAGAGACAAGTACAAACAGCAAAAAGGTTAAATCTGTATTTAAAGATGCAGCTTGTAAAATTTTGCCGATCCCAAAAATAATCGATGACTACAACTATCACATAGGCGGCGTTGACATTGCTGATCAACTACGTAGCTATTACTCAACGCAATTAGCTGTTTGTCGGACTTGGCCACCCTTATTCTTCTGGTTGTTGGACACCTCTATCATAAATTCTTATTTAATTTGTAAAAAATTAGAAATAACAAAAGATCACAAAAGTTTTAGACTGGATTTAATTTGTGATCTAATTAAAGATTCAATTAATGATGATAATTCTTTTAAAAGTGTTACTCGTAGTGGCAAAGATAGACAAGCAAACTCAATTGATGTAAACAAAAATAGGTCCAAAAAAATCTGAGTTTCTAGTTCATTCGAATTACCAGTATGCAGATTAGTTAGTAATAATCATTATGTAGAATATAGAGATAATAGAGAGGCTTGTTTATAGTGTCGGTATCAGTAAAAAAAAATTGAAGGATCAACTTTACAGAATCCTCCTCAATCAAATTATTGGTGTAGTGGATGTAACGTTCCACTATATTGTAACAAAAGTCGCCGAATATGTTTTAAAGAATTTCATACTTTTGTTGAAAATTGATTTTTTTGTTACATATTAAACTTAAAAAATGTACTAATGAATTTGAAAAACAACAATAATAAAAAGTATGTAATTTTGATGGATTTACAAACTTCTCTTAAGGTATAAATAGCTAAATTTATATTTTGTAGGAAATTTACAGGCTTAAAGGAAAAATTTTATAATTTTTTAAATTTATAAATAATTGAATTACTTTAGCTATAGTAAAAATTTATTTGTACCTATTTGGATAAAAAAATATATATTACGAATATAAAATTCAAATCCTAGGCTATTCAAAAATATATAATTTGTAATGGTTTATCTTACCCGTTAAGTTTTCCAATGCAACATAAAAATTCGGAATTTTTGCAGGCAAATATGCCTGCAAAGGCCTACAGACGAAGGGATAGGACCAGTACGGTACGGTACGATGTCAAATTTCACAAAATTTTCTGATCTGCATAATCGTACCGTACTGGTCTGGCGAATCGTACCGTACCGGTTTTCCATATACTCCACAATGTTCATCAGTATTTCTTGTAGATCATGTTTCTATTGGTTGGAAGCGTGAAGAGTATTCACGATTATTATATAACACAGGGGACTTTATAACCTACTTTTTTTTCTCGGGAAATTTTGGCGATTTTATTAATATATCATGCCGAATTTCTTACCAAACAATCAGGATAATAAAGCTTATAAGAAGCCGAAAGACCAGAACTACTTTGAAAAATAGCATATATTTAGGGGATAGAAGCATGGATGTAAGGTTTGTGAGGAATGCGATTATCACTCACATCTGTATTGCAAAAGGTGTAAGAAGGTGGTGGAAGGAATTTATAAGCGATGGTGCAAATTTACCAGACATTTTTTCGATCAAGTTTATTGTAGCTTGATAAATAAATACGCAGTAATATTATAATAATTATTACATGTATCACAGGAACAAGTAATTGCGCAAAATAATTTATTCTCAAACTTTCTCGCACATTCTCGTGTATAGCCCCTTGATGATCTTTACATATGGATTATGAATAGCGTTAAATTAAGGAGAAGCCGTTGATCAGATTTTCGTGATGCGGATTAATCCCTACAAATTATATAAAAAGTGAGGTCCTGATTGGTGAATCCTTTTTATATCCGCCTTGTGCGAGTAAAATGAAAAGATCAAACGGAATAATTAAACTTGCATCATCAATCGTGTGCTTGATTCTTAGAATCGAAAAACTTACCTTCTCGTGGATCCCAATAAAAGATTTCGATACAGAGGCGGATTGGAGTTGCATGAATAAGAAACATAAAGGTAAGGTTAATTGATCTATTATTTATTGTTATTCTTTTAACTCATTGATATTTTTGCTTGCAATAGATGAAATGGATAAATTCGGAGGAAAATTGGTACATAGATAGGCATATAGATAGTGAAAAAGTTAGCATTAAATAATAGTATGGAGTAGCTGGAAGGAACATTTTATGGTTTAGAGCTCGAGATGTTTCCTCCCTTTAAACGTCCGCTACTCAATTATTTTTACTAAATTAGTTTAGCTAGAGTCAGCTCCAATTTTATTAATAAAAAATCATGATTAATACAATTTTATACATAATAGTTTGAATTTACATTTTACATGGACTAGCATTTTGCATGCGTAGTTACAGTATAATATTGCTATTGAATATAAGTCATTGACTCAAAGTTAAAAAATAATCCTACCATCACGCTTCAACTTTCGAAATTTCTTATCACTAATGCGAATCCTAGTCTTAATATCATCATAATTGGTAAGATATGTTTCTTGGCGTTTCTCACATATCCTACGCCTCTCTTTCTTACTGAAGCCTAAGATTCTAAGCGAATCTTCGTCTGTCGAATTGATATATATTTTTTCGTTTGCTATACAAAAATAACAGAGAATACATATCAGATGATTCAAAAAAGTAGGAGAAATCAAAATTAATAAATTTACCGGACGCAAATTGCGCTCTACTAGCATATGTATAACCATAGAACTCTAGAAATTCATTCTTAGACACTAGCGCACTGTTTTTATTCATCTTTATAGACAGATTTCGCGTATCCGCATTCGTTAGAAATAATAGAACCCATTCTTCCGCTGGAACACATTTCATGGCTTTGGTAACCTTATACAGAAATCAATTAGCCAACAATTAAATGGTGCAAATGTATACCCGATATAGATGAAGCAATGTTGTTACCTTTGTATACTCATTATTGAATAAAGCCTGGTTAATGGTCATTGGTTTATTCGCATCAACACTTGTTATTTTCACTTGTTGGGCAATACATAAGAACTTATCTTTCGTTATTCTAAGAAACACGAAAACATCCCAAACTGCCCCATCGGCATTGAGGAAGGTATAGCTTATATTTTTGCTGATATCCAAATAAGGACAATCCATTTTTGTATAATTGTCATTCACTCTTTCCATGTCGTCGTCATCCATTTCGTCATCGTCGTCATCCATTTCGTCATCTTCGTCATTATCCATTTCGTCATCTTTCGTGTTGTCGTCATCCATTTTGTTATCTTCCGTGTCCAATTCGTTATCTATCGTTTTTTTATTATATCAGTGGTGATATGGTTAATGTATTACAAGAATATCTGTATAATATAATACCTGGATACTGATGTAGTAATTTACAAATTTTGAGGTCTTTAGGAAGGGAAACTTCAACATTTGGAAATCCGCGAGAAAATTTTGCACCCTTAAGAAGTTCTCCCAAATTGATTTTCTTATATCCTAACAGACGGAAGAGACTGAGACGTAAAGCCCAGAATTTGGCATTGAACATTTCAAAGTTCTGCCAATGCATTGGTTCATCGTAGTCAATCATGGACTTCCAATAATCCATTCCAGAGTGTTCAGAAGATTGAACAAGTATAAATACCCAAATGTAAGGTAATCTAACATTGTAGCATTTTCCTTTTTTTATCGGAACCAGATTCAAAATCCCCATTGAACTAAGATCCTGATAGCTCTTAAATTCATCACCGACCTTGATTGTATCTTTTTTATTAACTGGCAAGCCCAATATGGCTTTTGCAAGAAGTTCTGTCATCCACTCTGAGCGTGAATCTAGATGATACTTTCTTTTAACAGCGGATTTGACATCACCCATGACATTCACCATCTTAATTTTATTAATATGTCCATCTTTTTGGTTCGACTGTTCCTTGAAAATTTGGTAAAAAAACTCTAAAGTTTTCGCATGCCCTCCAATGTCGCCAATACTCATTCGAAAATAAGGATGGCACTTGACATATTGATCATCAAATAGTTTCATGGCTTTGCCAATCGCGATCGCGTCGTCATCTTCAAGGAGGTATAATGGAAGGAGAAGTGGTTGATGCATAGAACCTGAAATATAATCATTTAAGGGTCCTTCAATCGTTCCAGATAGAATAGGGATGAAAAATATGTTTGAAGGCGGTCCACACATTGTCCCTCCAATGGCGTGTATAAGCTTCCCACAGACATCTTTGTTTTGAATATGCAATTTATTGAACTCGTCGATGCCAAGGACCAGGACCAGTAGAGGATTAGGTGTTGTTGGATTAATTTGCACAAAGTCTTTGTAGATAATTTGAAGAGCAGTGTCCAGGGTAAAATCTGAAACGTCTGAAGAATTATTGTGATGTTGTCTAAAGTATGAGCGGAAGCTGACAAAATTATAACTCTGGGGATAATCTTGGTGTTTTGGTCGAAAGTACTCAAATAGAATACGTATTGCGAGAGATGCCTGTGCTTGAATCTTTTCATCAATATCGTCAGCGACGGTTGAATTCCCGTAGGTTGTATTGATGACAATCATGTTTGTGAAAGCATTATTGTGAGATTCCTCAGCTTTTTTCTTGATTAATTCTTCAACTTCGTCTAGAAATCTGCTCTTTCCAACTCCAGGTCCACCCGCTAAGACAGGAATTGGATGAAGGCCTTTGTCATTTCTATCACGATTTTTAAATCGGGTTGCGATTCCACTCAAAGTTGTAAAGTCATTCCATAGGACTTCAATAGTGTCATCTCTCTTAAGAAGTTCAAAGTCTGCGCCATAAGTCTTAACGAGCTGAAAAGGTCAATCCGATTTAGTCAGAGAAACTAAAGACATATTACTGAAAAGATGACAAAACTAGAAGACTTACTCGGTTTCGGCCACGGTTCAATGTGAATAATTGTTTAATCCACTCATAGATAGAAGAAGGATCGTTCCAGTTAGGTCCTAAAACCAATAATAAGTAAGAGATTTGTTATAAATTTCTTTGACATCGTTCCAAGCCAATAGATACTCGAAATCATTCAAGATCCGTACCTTGTGTAACGCCTTGCTGAGAGGGACCTGCTTTAACGCGAAAAAAAGGAGATCAGACCAAACTCGATATTTTGTTACTGCAAATTTCTTGTTCGAGAGGTAAAACACTTACCAGCAGTTGTGTTTGTGATGACAGCAACAATGTGGATGTTAACATTCTTAGCATTAGGTACATCTGGAAAATAATTTACAAAGCTTTGCTCAGGTTCCATAAGCTCGCCTCCAAGTTTTTCAATACCGTCTTCAGTAGAAACGGGATTAAGATCATATTTTTTGGCGTTAATCTTCCAAATATTCAGTATATCAGAATCTTTAAACTTTCCTTCATGAGAGATAAGTTTCTTGAGTTGTCCAACTCTTACAGTCTCAAATAGATATTTTTTATCACCAATTTCGAAGAATTTCGTATTATCATTCTCTTTTTCGTAAACTTCAACCTGGAAAACGTATTTATTATCTAGGCGCAAACAATTATACGATCCAACCATTTCGATTATGTTTCTGTAATGATAAAATAATATTTAGAGAAAGAAAGAGGTTTGAGAAAACTAGAGGGTATATAATGGGTATATATATACTTTTCTGAATACATCGTGACATAGACTCTTGCATAAACTTTTGGTGGCTTGTGGTGACGTAATAATATAGATACTTCTAAGCATAGTAAAAAAAGTAATTTATCAGTATATGAAAAAATGATTAATACGGTTTTATCATTACTCATTAGATTTTTGATTCTCCGACGAATTCTCAGGGTATTTATTAAAAAAAGTTGAACTAATTTTTAGGTCGTACAAATAAGTGGTCGTACGATTGACCGTATTTGACTAATTGAATAATAAATTAATAAAGCTCTATGATGTAAAGATTTTCACTTTTTTCTTTACTCCGGCCGTCGTACTATTTCTGAGCATGAACATTATGAACTCGTTAAAAAGAAACCGGCCTATCGCACTAATCGCAGTTTGAAAGAAGTGTTGACGAAAAAAATATTGAAGTACGGACGAGACATTTCGCAATTAAGGTATGAATGAAATATATTTTTTCGGCTGTGACTGTGCATTTGCAAGGGAGTGATTCATATCTCGTAAAGCTAATATCTATTTTTTTGTTCAGAAATTTCAAGGACCTTATTAGGCGGAGAACATAAACTTTGAGTTCTACTAAGGTCAATACTGTTAATTTATTTCTGACTCTGCATAACTGACGACCATTTTGTTCTATCCAGAATATCGACGTTGGGACAAATGAAATCATTAGAGTTAATGTTGGGATATTATGTTAGTATAGATAGTTTAGATGATGGTGTGGGTCTATACGCATTAGTATAGAAACGCCATTTCACTTTGTAAAACAAGTCTATATATCATCAATCATGTAATTTATTTACTGCATCAATAAAGAATTCAAGCCGAAAATTGCTATACATTGTATTAAATATATTTTTCGTGGGATATGGAGACGTATTGTGAATAAAAAAGTGAGACCTAAAGTCCCACTTGGATAAAATGCATTTTAAATAAATCGCTTTCTATATGAAAGGTATTATCGAATATGCAATCCGAACTTGATTCATTGAAACAACGCGTTGTCGAGCTTCTGGCTGAGAATGCCGAGATTAAGGCCGAAAATGCTAAATTAAGGCAGGCTATGGAACCAGATTCGTAAAACTAAAGCAGAGCGATAAAGAAAAGGCTGAGCTCATTGCAGAACTAAATTGTGATGTCGGGAAAATCAAGCAGGAGCAAATTGCTATTAATGTTTCAGTGCAAGACGGGACATCCGTGGTGAAATCTCCCACTCGTTCAGAATTACAGGTGACTTCCCAATCATCCATTTCACCGCCTATTGAGGGTAACTCTGAGAATAGCTCTGATGTAACTCAACCCACTTATGCAGGGTCTAAATTATTGGAGGATAGACAGACCAATGAATTCCTGATTTCGGTAAGTAAGAAGGAGGTTAGAGATATGATGAGACAACGCAATAGAGAGAAAAAACTTTTGCATGGATCAACATATTCAAGCCAAGATTAGGATGAGCCCTCAATTTTCCAGAATAATTCCTCTATGCCTCTAGAAAATTCTGCGAAAACTGAAACCAATACAAGCAGTTCGCAATCATCAATCAAATTGAGTGTTTGCAGAGCAGGAAAAACTCAAGTACTACCCAAGGATACAAAAGTTTTATATGATTGTATAGTAGCCCAAGATTTTATATAAAAAGTGTCTTCGGAGTTGATAGATATCCAAATTATTGATGGAAATCAAGAGCTTACAATTGACATGACAATAGAAGTTGAGCTTGCTCATCTATTTCTAAAAGTAAGTATTAAAGGGAAGAACACTACACAGGCGAAGCAAAAAGAGATTTCATGTCGCTATTCATATGAGAAAAAGTTCAAAAAAGGTGTTCAAGAAATTATTGCCAAAGATAATGTTTCAGACCAGACGGCAAGAAAACAATTATTCCAAGATATAATAAAGCATCTTTCTGGAATAACATTGGAAACTTTACGTAAAAGAACCTAAAGAGCCATAAAGATTTACAAATTGTTCAAAAAGATAGGAGTAGATAGAATTAAGAATATCAAATCTTACAGCGTGGATTCTATTTCAAAGTTTACTAAGCCTCAAATCCAAATTATTCTGGATTATTTTGATGGATCTGACTATACTAATATGGAGCTAAAAAAGCCTAACTCATATTCTGGATGCAAAAATACAGAAAAAGTGAGACCTAAAGTCCCACTTAAGAAAAGTCAGGGGTCTGTCCCAAAAAAATTATCAGATGCCAAGGTAAGCATTTCACTTACACCTTAAACTTCGAAAACCAATCTGATTAATGCATTAGAGGCACAAGAGTAATGCTTGGATTCAGTTGAGATAATAAATGTATTATCAGCATCCCAATCTAAGCCAACTTATGACCGCTCCTATTTTTACAATAAGATATTAGATCAATATCCTACTTTATATAGAGAATTTAGTAGTGAAAATTTCAATTATTATGGCATTACTGATAAGACATCATGCTCACTATGCAAGTTAGATCATAATGATGAAGAAAGTATAGAAGGTAGGTATAAATCTGGATCTTACTTTATTAAATGTGAACAGCGTGAAATTGAGATAACTGCATAGTCTCATTATTTTATAATATATTCTATTTGCCCACGCTTCATTGTGTAATATTTTTTTAGGACTAATTATATCAACTATTAGTTTATTACCTAATTTAAATTGATTTGCAATTATATAAAACAGCAACATGACCAAGCCCGATAAAGTATTAACACCTGAGTATCTGGATTGGCTTGCTGAATTAACTGGTTTACCATGCGTTTTGACGGATAAGATTCGTTTCAATTTATATAAAAAATATAAAAAAGAAACTGGATATGAGCTATAGCAATTATCAGAAGCATATACATCAGAAGTCAGCCTTCTCATAAATTCGAAGCCTGAAAACAAAGCATCCTATTTATCTTTTCCTGAGCAATGTGAAGAAAATGGGCCCATCACCTTTAAAGCCAGACATGATCCAGAATTAATTATCAAATCAGTTTTAGAACACTTTCTATACTTGAAATTCTGAATAGTTTTAGGAGAATTGATAATTATAATTTTGCATCACTTCAGCCGTGAAGCTCATCATACCCTATTTGCAATGGAAAATATGGGAATTATGGATTACATGGCTCATGGTACTGTAGAAATGGGAATTAACTTCCCTATGAACCTAAATTAGTGAAGTTATTATCTCAAGATAAGTTGGAATATTGTCTTACCTGTATCACTTTAAGCCATAAACTTAAGTTTGCAATTGTAGTATAATTTATCTTATTATTATCATGTATAACAAGCTATTGTATTTATTTTTCATCGCTCATTAATATACCGTAAAGAACCTTTACAATTAGATTTGCACTTATGATCGCTAGACGTCAGCACGTTATTACAAATTTATATCACATATATTAATCAGCCTATGTAACCTTGAGCCAGAGAGCGTAATCGTAGCATAAAACTATTTTTCAAGTTATTCTAAGAAGACATCCTATCTAACTTTTACCGAAGCTGATCAAGTAAGTATTTTTTTCACATTGCCACAAATAAAAGATACATTAACAGTATCCTACGTTCATACAGTTCAGCCCTTTGGCTGATGCTTGGATTAGAGTCTGCGGATAAATCTTTATGACTCATTACATGCTCGTAACGGCTCTTAGTGCCTCAGTCTGAACCTCTCTTCCAGTATACCAGCAACGTAATATTCTACGTCCATATGGTTCAGCCCTTTAGCCGATGCTTAGATTAGAGTCTACAGGTAAATCACTATGACTCGTTACATGCTCGTAATAGCTCTTAGTGCCTCAGCCTGAACCTCTTTTCCAAAATATTATGTTGTAGCACTGGTACAAAAAAAATTCTGTTTACATCTAAGGAAATTGATATTTAACGATATTTTTATGTTTTGACCTAGATATGAATTTTGAACATTATATTGAAGAATACACCAGTGGTTCTGATCCTATCAACTGGAGCATTTTAAACTGCCTTAATTGTCTCAAAGATAATGACAATTTGATATTCATATCCGATAGCAAGCAAGGTATTTTATATGCATTCATAAGAACTTTCAAAAAAATTACTGAAGCCTCTTTCGCATAGAGTGGAGCAAAGAAAAAGGCAAAAAAAATATTTAATAGTATCAATGATACATTTGAAAGAAGAAAAATTCGCGAATTTTTTGAGAAATTAGACCATAAATATGAAATAGTAAGTTAACTATATCTTTTTCACAAGCAAGCTCATGCAAATATTAACCTATCGCATTATAGAGGAAAACTGATCGGGAAATGTATAAAAGCATAAATACAGTAAAAGTGTTGATTACTAAGAAAGCAACAGTGCGATTAGGAAAGGTGATTTTTCTTTCCAAACATAAATAAAGTCATTTTTTTTATTAATATAATAATGATCTAAAGGTATTAGAAACTCAAGAACGAAGAAGTAATAAAAAGATGAAGACAAAAGGGAATGTTGACTTGGTTAGTAAATTAACTCAATTATTTATATTTATAAAAGATAGTCTTATGTACGTGTTAGTTGAGAATCTTGCTAACTGAATATTATTATATTGCTAGAAATCCAATCACAATGAAATGGATTCTTCTAGTTCAAAATATCAAGAGGAGACAAAAATGGTAAGCAATACTACGTGATATTTAGTTTGCAATGATACTTTTCATAATCTTATTTTTTAATTTAGCCGAAAAGACAATCTACTGAATCAAATGATTTTGATGATAACGAGATTGAAGATGCACAAGAGTGTAACCCTACTGAATTTGATATTGCATATCATAAACTAGACCTGGCAAAGATGTGGACTCTCGAGTTCTCTGGCCGTGTTGTTAAAAAAGTGATTTATGAGTATGCATGAAAATTGACACACGAATCTTATTTGCATTCATTTATAGTCAACGATATTGATGTAGCTACTAAATCGTTATTTTTCAAAGAAGAATAGAAAGAGATCACCACCTCAGAGGTTAAAGCTAAGCTGAAACTCGAACCTTCTCATGTAGAATTGTTAAAGAAGTACACGACTGACAACATTAAGAAATTACGAAAAGCATTTTCTGAACCGCTTGTATCAGAATTTGATCGAAACCTTCATTTTGATCTGGACTTCATTAATTTTGCTTATCGAGGGATGTTGTTTTTGTGGGAGAAGGATGTAGATCCCTTTGACTCAATAAAATTAGAGGGATGGTATGAAATGTGTGTTTGGAGTCGCTTAATTAACCCGACCTTTGAAAATTTGGACATTAATTTAGTGCGAGAGGAAGGGATGAGTTTGACGTCTAGTGATCAGAAGAACATTAAAAGGTCAGTAGCTGATCGAAAAATTATTGTTCAAAAAGGGGATGGTATTTTCAAACAATATAAGAAGCATATAGAATTTGGTGCAGTAGAAGCAGGACGCAAATGGGAAGGGAAGAACAGTACTAAATATTTAACTGATTCATTAAAGCTGTGTAAGATGATAAAGGATGTGTTAACACAACTTTCTATTGAATGTAATGGAGTAGAAGACCTTGTGAGAAAAATACAAGTTATTGGGATTCTTAACAGGGCTAACATGATTCAGGTCATTACAATGGATTACCCAAAGGGGTATATTTTTCGTGTTTAACGTAAAAATGGGGTCTTTGCAATAGAAAGGAAGGAAACTCAAAAAAAAATAAAAAATGAGTTAATAATAAATCTGAACAAATTATAGTATTTGGAATATTTTTGGCTTATAAACTAAAATTTTAATTTTTTTGAAGTTTCCTCCCTTTTTATTGCAAAGGCCCCAAATGTCCATGAGGTTGCAGGACGTTTATCCAAATCTGATCCACTTGCTTTAGTTTTGAAAGAGGTATTATGCGTAAAATCTATCATCAAACAGATACTGGACATAATAAATAAGAAGAATAGTGTTGATATCGGAATATTTCTCAATGATTCAGATGAACAAGATGGATCTCGCACGCCTCCAAACGTTACAATACCTCCAACTTTCACAATTCTGAATTCAGATCGTACTAAGAATGTTATTAATGAAAGAAAAAGAAATAATAATAAATATTACTAAATAGTTGATTATACCAATGTATTTTATTATAGGTACACAAAATATGTAGAAAATTTTTCGAAAGCTGTAATAACAATAATAAAAATCGCTCACTGCGCCACACTACTATATCAAGTAGACACGCTTGTCCTACATCAGGTTTTTTGACCTGTGACGTTGTATATATGTTATTGATAAATATAATTTTATGTGTGAACAATTGTTCATGCACATGTGACTTTATTTTTTAAGAACATGCACCTGTTAATTAACATTTCATATGATGAGATTGATTTGCATCGAAGCTCTCACACCAATAGGGTAAGAATTCTTGCTATGAATACTGATATTTTGAAAGTAAATCCACGCTTGTTATGTGAATTTGCCCTGAAAGAATTTACCACAGAAAAGGTTTTGAGAAAGAGGAAATTACTCCTCTCAAATTAAAAGATTTTGGTTATTTCTTTTTGACTTCTTATATATATTAGCTTACCACTGACCATAAATAATGTGAATGGGCGGGCTATAGGTAAAGAAAAAATAGCACATATAAAATCCACCTCTCTAGATTTTATCTTAAATCTAACTAAAGATGAAAAGGATTATATAATGATCAAAATCTTAAAATGAAAGGTTTGTTAATATACTGCGCCATTTCTTCTGCGCAATTAAGTCAAGCCTGGACACTATATCTAGACTCTACCACCAGAAAAAAAAACAGAATTTCGTTCACGTGTATTCTCAAACATATAATAAAGCATTTGCATATCCCACTCATATCAGGGGTTTATTTTTTAAATATGTATAACTGATTGCCAAATTTTATGAAAAATAATTTGCTGAGCCTGGACACTGTGTTCAGACTCTATCATCAGATAGTTATATACAATGACTTATGAAGTATCTTAACAATCGACTATTTCGGGAGATAAATTTTACCAGATACTGAATCAGCTTCTGTTTAATTTTGACAAGCTCAGACAAGCACGTGTATTTTATTCATAATCATTTTCCTGAATTTCCATTATGCTTATCCGGCTAAAGAAAAAATCTGAAACCTGATTAGCCGATCATCTTGTGATTTCGGTGACTAGCTAGCGTTGAAGAAGTGTCTGAAAACTGTCGTGAAACTGACAGGGAGCTAGGATGATTCCTGTGATACGATATACATCATACACCTTTGATTAGCTATTATCTCGAACTAATTTAACCCACCATTGGAAAATCCCTTACATGTAGCACATAGCCAAATGTAAACCTTATATAAACCTCTGATAATATGCTTGTAATTGAATAAAAAAATGAATCTGATATTTTATTATCATATACTTGTTACAAACTGCTATAACAAGAAATATTTGCAAAAAATGCTATATATCACTAAAATTAGGGCACTGTCAGAAATTATCTAATATTGTATTACTATAAGCGCTTACCCTCCTTTTCCCAGGTAATATATGGGGCCTTTGCAATAAAAAGAGAGGAAACTCCAAAAAAATTAAAATTTTAGTTTATAAGCCAAAAATGTTCCAAATACTATAATTTGTTCAGATTTATTATTAACTCATTTTTTATTTTTTTTTCTATTGCAAAGACCCCATATGCTGTGAAATCACGTGATATAATTTTATATATCGTATATATCAATAATATAATGATCAAAAAATCTGATATAATTTATTATAGTTTATATAGTGATAGATAAAAAATTGATTATAGTATAAAGTCTAAATCCAATACTTAAATTTAAAACTCAATTTATTATAATTTGATAAAAAATTGATTGTATAGTATAAAGTCTAAATCTAAAATTAAAGAAAATTTATTTAAAAAAAGGAAAGAATTAAAAAAATTGATGTTTGCGATGATCCTTTCCAAAAATTAGCTCAATTTATTTAAAATCCACGAAACTTTAATGCGGTTGTTTCGCATTTACACTTGCTAATAACATATTGATATTTTATCCCAAATATTAAAAAATGAGTCGCCAAACATTTTTTCTTAGTCCTAAATTTAATAAAAAGCCAATATATGATTCACCAGCTAATAAATATCAGGAGTTCACAAATGCTTATGTGTACAGTGTTATAGTAAAAACAAGTAACTATACTTCCAACCGTGCTGTTGTTTGTTAAGAGGTCATAAACGAGTGAAATAAAATAAAGAAAAAGAGCATTGATGATATTGATGGTATAATTCGGGACTATATAATCACATCACTTAATCTATATGACATACAGTCAATGAGATATAAACGTTCTACGCCTTCAGAAAAATTGAATCCTTTTTCTCCCTCTCCTTCCACTATTCATTCAGTACCAGAAATTCCCGCCAATGCTTCAGCTCAAAGAAGGGCAGCAGATGCAATCGAAATAGCTGAAAAAAAATCTACGAATTTGAGCAGATTTACAATATTACAAGTGATGCTCAGATTCGTGATCAAATGTACCAAAAATAGAAAGCTTGTGGAATGAAGTCAAATCTAACAAAAATAAAATTGACAAGTTAAAAAAAAAATGCCAAATATGCCCAAAATTGTAAAGAAAAAAAATTGAGATAACTTTTCGAAAATAAAGAGGTACACAATGTGAAAGTAGGGGTTTGAGGACTGAAGGTCCAACCCCCACTGAAACATTGTGTGTGTGGGTCACAGAACGTTAAAAACATTATCATTTTTTTTATTATATTAGAAAAGCTTCTATCAGCTCTAGAATCTTAATTTCGATATTATATTTCTTATTTCTGAGTGGGTCACAGAATGTTAAAAAACAATATCGTTTTTTTTATTATATTAGAAAAGCTTCTATCAGCTCTAAAATCTTAATTTCGATATTATATTTCTTAATTCTGTGGGGGTCACAGAATGTTAAAACAATATCGATTTTTTTATTATATTAGAAATGCTTTTAACAGCTCTAGAAACTTAATTTTGATATTATATTTCTTAATCCTGTGTGGCTTCTCCAACCTCAGAAAGCATATCAATTTTTTTAATATATTAGAAAAACTTCTAACGACTCTAGAATCTTAATTTTTATTATTATATCAAGAATTGTTTCTGCATGAGTTAGCTCTTTAAATAGCATATTTACTACTTAAGTCTAACGAAATAAGTCTAACAGTCCTTATTACCCCATAAATAAGTCTAATGAAAAAATAAGTCTAACGAAATTAACTTTAACAGTTCTTATTACCCCATAAATAAATCTAACGAAAAAATAAGTTTAACGGGGGTTTTTGTCCTAACTTTTCCTTACGATTTATAACATTCTATGCCTGTGGGGGATGTAAAATCGATATAAGTTTTCAGTTATAATTATTAAGTCTAACAAAAAAATAAGTCTAACGGGATTTTTGTCCTAACGTTTTCTTAGTCAAGGACAGATTCTGCGCGAGTTAGCTCATTAAATAGCATATTAATCATATAACTTTAACGAAAAAATATGCTTCACGCCTCCAGCTAAAAAGCAAGTCTAACGAAAATTTAGCAAATGCCCATTAAATATTACGCCCAAAATTCTGGCTAAAATTAAGATAAAGTGCTAGCCGAAATGA